CGAAAATACTACTAATTGTCTCGTATGGATATCACTACACGAAAAATTATTGGACAAGCTATCTAAGAATATTGTGACATGACTTTTTATTTTAAAGGAAAAGTCGAACTGAAAGAATATGTGAATTAGTCCTACTATACTATCTAACCTTTTCTCTTTATTAAATATATTTTTTGCTCTGTTTCACAAAGCACGGATTCATGATCTGATGATGTATGTCATGGCAGTACAGACGACAGCTTTTTTGGAGTTGTAGGACGATGAGTTAGCACTTCTTTGCACAATTCAACAGCCTTCACTACGCTGTAATCCTCCTTCGGCTTCCGCTGCGACTATTTCACGAATTCCTTCCGAACAACTTTTCCTTCAAAATGGAAAGTAATGTCACCACATATCCAAAAGGGATTCTTAGTATCTAGGAGGACCGTCATACAGATTCGTCGGGGTCGCAGATTGGTATGCCAGAGACTCTTTGCCCAAAATCCGGTAAAAACGCTGAATGAATCCTCCTTCGGTTTTTGATAGGACCAAGTTAAAAATCATTTTTGTCTATGAGAGGTATTTACCATATTTAGTTAATGTGAGGATGGAGTGATAGTTGAATTTTCCCACAATCATATGAGTAGACCTGAAATTTAAACAAAGTCTTGCTTCCTAAAAAGGTATTCTCATCCAGGCCGGGGTGGGCTGCTACTTCGATATCGTCCAGGTCCTCTCCACACACTCAACGGTACGCGAACAAGGCTTGTGTTAGTGAAGCGTATAATCTTTACATGTCAACGACTACGGCCACGGGTGCCGTTGGGTAACAGGGCAGATGTGCATTTCAGGGAAAATCGGGTATTTTTCCATATCACATTGTGTGGTGGGATTTTCAATGAAACAAAGTTGAATTTTCTATAAAATCGACTAAATTATTCATTTTTAGTTTATAAGCAGGTTTTGAAGACTACTATTAGATGCATTCACCCTATTCCGTTAGGGTGATGAAGGATTGCCAGTTGGATTTTGTATAAATTTTCAAACAAACTGAAGGATATAACAGCATGTGACTATTAGGGAAGTCTTCGAAATCCACCTTCTCTTCTTACCGTTTGAGTTTTCATCGCGACAAAGTGGGCTTTGTAACCTCGCCAAATAGACTCTCAATAATGGTGAGCTATAAAGGTTGGGTAGGTGACGTTGCCAAAATGATGTAAATAAAGTATACAAAAAAAATAAATAAAACAACTAAAACTAAATAACAACGTATAAATGGTCCAGTTTTTATCAGTCAGACTATTGATATTGAAGGTCGAGAGGTGTCAAGTGATCAGATCGCCCCGATTCTAACCTGCAAAAGGAAGATGTGGGTCGGCATGAAGCCTTTGGTCAGAGTCTCGGCTGGCAGTTGCGTCTTCAACGGTGACGGCTCGGCGTTCAGGTCCGCCAAGTCCGAATTGAACAGCTCGTAGGGCTCGGGCAGCTCCTGAGCCGTGGCTGCAGGCTCTGTCGTGGGTAAGCCCTCGACACCGTCCTCCAGGCTTCGAAGAGTCTGATCCTCCTCTGGTCCAGGCTTGACCGGTTCCGGCTCCCGAACCACTTCTTCCTCCTCAGCCTCCTCTTCTTCTTCCTCCTGCTCCTCCTCGTCTCGTTCTACAAGGGACGTAGGAACGGAAAAGCACATCTTCTTAGTCATCAGAACATGATCTATTCATGATAACGCACCTCGAATAGGGAATTTCGTCAATCTGGTTTGCATGAGATGATGAAAGGTGGATAGTTAAATGTTCGCACAGAGCCTCAATGCTCCGTGCAATTGGTCCAAAAATTGCCCCAAAATGTGGCCTCATTCATCCCGGATCTCATCGCCCCCCTTCACGGGACTCGAACTATGGTCGTTTGTGTAGATTTACGACACTTTACCGTTCCAGAGGTGTGCATATTGGCGATGTGTAGGCACTTTACGCGCTGAATTCAGGTATTTGATTACCAATGAGGTTTCCGGCGTTGAATTGTGCGAAGAAGACCTCGACTCACCGTTCTGCAACCACGAGCCATCCACGTTGAGCCTCATTTAGTCATGTGACGGACATCGCTAGAGCCAGAAACCATCATTTGAGAACAATCACCCTCCCATGATTGGGTTGACTACTCCATGAGTTTGGCTCTGACAATATCCGTCACATGATGAATGAAATATCAGCACGGAGTCATCGAGGTCGTGTGACGGTGAGCCGAGGTTGCCTTCGCACAATTCAACAATCACAAGTTCAAGGCCACCCTCCTACGGTATCCGGTGGAGCCAATTTACGAATCCCTTTCATCCTCCCTTTCAAACAAAATGAAAGGTATGTAACTATCAAAATTCATAGATTTGAAGAAAAGCTGGATTTCGATAATTCTTTAGTGACATGAGTTTCCATTTCGAAGGAAATGTTGATCGGAAGGTATTAGTGATGTGGTCTCAGATTGATCGGGATCGCAGGAAGGTGATTCAAGGAATTCTCCGCACAATCCGACAGTTTTTCCTACGTGGAAATCCTACTTTAGCTTCTGGTGAGACCATATCACGAATTTCTTCTCACTTACTTTTCATTCGAAATGGAAAGTCATATCACAATGCATCAAAATGCATCATCTTACAAAACTTTGCAGCAAGATTTCATATCTTGAGGCATGATGGTCGAAGGCACAAGGACGGATTATATGCCCAAAATTCTGGCTCAATCCTCATGAACTGTTGTTTCTCATTAAAATATATGGTGAAGAAATTAGTTTGTGGGACCCACTGAATGACGATGGATAATTCTCGTTATTATACATCCGTTCGACCTTAATACGTCCATGAGATATATCTCCTCGTTTCGGACGAGCATTCCTTCCTCACAAAGAAAGACTAAGTCAAGCAGACCATCCGACTCTATCCTACAGGCTATATATACCCAAATAAAATTTTTTACAAATATATTGACATTTAAAGAGATAGAACGATTTAGTTGATCATCCTTCTTAGTAATAGGGGGAATCGTACACACACACACATACATACAAGCGAGTATAAATAACGAAATAAATAATCCTATATCTATATCTACATATTTTGGTTTTTAAAAGAGGTTATATTTCATGCGTTATAGAACCGAATAGTCTTGCGACTTGAAGCTTTGTGAAAATTACTTCCAGATCCGACAATGTCCACCCGATGGTTGTGGTAAAGCCAAACACGACTGCAGGGCAGCGGAAATCGGTCGTCTGGCGAGATCAACCTAAGAGTCTTTCTATCATTCACACTTTCAAACGAAATGAGGATTTTCATGAAACTATTATCCCAGGAGGCCTATCGAAGTCCAGCTACTCTTTGCATATGCAACCTTATAAAACCTGTGAGGCCGACGGAACCACCAATCTCGGCCAAATTTTCTGTGCTCCCTGCTTCCATTTTCTCTTCTCATTCCAGCCTTGTCTGGTAACCAGAGTGACCATACTCTGAACCTGTCCAAGACCGACCAAGAAACAGTACTCCAAGTCCCTGAGGCGGCATCGACGAGAGGAGTTAGTCTGTGACTGGTTTTTGTTGGGATCAAACAAATAAGCTGTTGTCGAGAAATTGGTGTTCACTAGTTTCTACAGCGTTTATTTGATAGAAATGCAAGCGAAAGTTTCGTCACTGGGTTCAAAGCTTTGTCTATCGAGGCAAAGCGATACATTTTCGAGAGCATTTGATCTGAAGCTCCTACACACTTGGAAGGTAGAGATCTCGCGTTTTATGGCCGCTTGAGCAGAGAGTTGCAGGAAAAATGTAATTTCACAAAGTGTCTCTCGGCTATGCCTGAAGCTAAAAAGGAGATCGTGGCCTTGCTTTGGTTCCCAAAATATTTGTGTACCCCATACTCATGAGCAATCCGGTAATCGTGCTTATTTCTATGAAGGAATGGCTCGTCTAAGGTTGATGAAGATTGAGAAGGGAATCTTTTGTTTTAGTAGCACAATTTGGGTCACCGGCCAATCAAACATCAGTGGGCCGATGATGTCGCCTAGTTCGTGAAACAGTTAATGATGGTTTGACTTACTGAGAAATAGTGCATCCGCTTGTTCCTTCGTCTTGGGGTATCCATCTAGCACAAAGCCATGGTTCTGGCAGGTTCTCGATTTCAGCTTCTTTCGTAGGAACCTGTTAATATGAAGAAAAAAAGTGAAATTAACCTTGAAACCGTCTCTAAGATATGATACAAGATGGTATAAATTGTCCATTTTTATCTGACCGGGCATTAAGTGGCTTTTCTGGTAAAACAAGATGTCGTTCTTCTGCTTTGAAGTTGAGATTTACACCAAATCTCAACCACAGATTTGCCTCGTTCGTCAAGTAGAAGCCTTCTCTGTTACATATGCTCTCCAGTCAGTTTGCGATATTTGAGTCTATCATATTTCGAGGAATAGAATTGAAGATGTGGAAGTGCTCGAAAGTTAGACATTAAACTGACAAAATTTGACAATTATACCGACCGTATCAATTAAATTTAGAAGGTAATCCTTCTTAATGGCCGCATGGTTCAGTTCAGGCAAGCGATGGTATGTCAGAATATTCAACGATACCCAATTATTTAGTAATCAAGATTTTGGCTTATCCCTGTTTGGGATAAATATGCAAAACCGATTTTACATGCAATCGGAGCTTCCAGGGGACCTAAAGGAATGGTAAGCTACACGTAAGGGAAAATAAATTCCGATGGACCTTGTGAGAAAAGACGACGACGTACTGCTTGTGCTTTGAATTCAGCTTGTCTTTGTGTTCAGAAAGACTTCCTCCTTTAGTTTCGATGAAAACGAGGTAAGCCTTGCTTGTCATACCAATTATTCGATCTCGTCGGAACTAGATCTTATTCTTACAGAAAGTTCAATTAGCACAGGATAAAAATACTAGCTGGCTCATTCTTACTTTTCGTCTCTACTTACAATAACGACAACAACAAAATGGAAGGTATGAAGACCAAGATGGTGTGGCCTTTTGTGTGGTCGTAGTCTCCTTTCGTTGTATAGAAGTTGTTTGACCTTGTTTTCCCAACATGGTCACATTGGTAGGAAGACTCATTGGAACGCACCTAGTCCGGGGTCCATTGTCTGCATGATCA